CGGTTTGGGGCGGGGGGCGGGGGGGGGGGTTGGAGCTGGAGTGACCACTACGGCATGCAATGTTTTAGATAAAGCTATTTATATAATGACTTCAAAATATTTTCCTCTTCTACTCGCCATGCCATTTCTTATGCATCTTAATATCTTGTTTACTATTTTGCCCGCAGCTACACATTGAACTGCAATTTTAATTGAGCTGTTCTGTTTTAAAGTTTAGATTTATATAAGATCAATCTGGAGAAAGATTCATTTCCATCTTTGAATGGAGTATTGTGCAAAACTTGGAGGCTGAATATGAAATGACTGTCAATTATTTTTTATTTTGTAGGGCTCCTGTACAGTTAGTATCATAAATACCAGATTTTTCATGCAGATTGTAATTAATAATGTGCAGGAAGATTGTAATGACAATTTATGATAAAAGTTGATGGAGCTACAGTATTTTACACAACAGAGAATCTGGCCTTTGATTTCTAAATACCATTTACACGTTATTTATATCAAGTAATATTACATATCTTATGCCCTTAGAAAATTATTGGTGGGGTGGGATTCTTTTAACAAAAGGAGAGACAGATACCTGAAGACATTAAGATAAAACGTATTGAAGTATAAGGCAGTGTTTCTGTTAGTTTGTCCTTGCAAAAGTCTTGTGTGTGAATTTGTGGAATATTTCTCTAAAGTAGCCTGAATGGTTTGAAACAGAATTGTTTCAAAGCTGTTTAGTTTTATTCCCAAGACAGACTCATCATGTTCTTTATTTTGTGTGTTAGACACAAAGGCCATACATGTCTCTGTAATAGGCATAATTAATAAAATCTGGATAGTACACCTTTATCAACAGTACACTTCCCTCCAAGTGAGTTCATAGGTCATGAATCACCTTTCATGTTAACTTCTCTGCCCATGCATAAGAGAACCCAGAAGCATTAGACAGAGTCAGGAAAAGGTTTTGATAGCAAGTTCAGTTATCTCTGATGCTTTCCTTGTTAAGTAGAGTGATCTGTTTATTTTCAGCTGAAGGCATTAATGGCTGGGAATCATTTATATTGGCTGTAGCAAGACTGTTTTTGTTAATTGAATGGGGTCTAAAAGCATTATGTGGCATATTTTCACAGACATTGATGAATGCGGAACTGGAAGGCACAGCTGTGCCAATGACACCGTTTGTTTTAACTTGGATGGTGGGTATGACTGTCGATGTCCTCATGGAAAGAACTGCACAGGAGACTGTATCCACGAAGACAAAATCAAGCACAATGGACAGATTTGGGTGCTGGAGAATGACAGGTGTTCTGTCTGTTCATGCCAGGTCAGTAAAGGAAATGAACTATTCTTACAGTGCTGCTGTAATTAGTGATAGGAATGAAGGGTGTGTGTTTGAGGGGGAAGAAAACTTCAGGATTCCAGTGAAATTACTATTGCCCTGGATCCCCTTCTCCATAAGGGTGATATCACAGGGAAGGTGATTTCCACAGGGCCATTTGTGGTCAGTATGCTTCTGTATGTTATGCTTGTGCCCAATATGGAGCTTCCCAATTCTGCCTGCATAGATATTAATCTCGTAGACAGTTGGCAATGTAGTGAATCCTGAGAGAAGTATACAGTACTAAGAGTAAGGATAGCCCACCTCAACTTTTTTTCCACCTGGAGAGGTGTCATTTTATGTCTAGAAGTGTTTTTGTGTGTGTAGATTTTGGGGATGTGATAAGACTCAGGGTTATCAAATACAGAGAACTGATAAGAATGGAAGGGAAGAAAAAATATTTTCTTTTTGTGCCCTCCCTTCTGCGTAATATGGGTTATCCTTCTTAAATACTCGTTGGCATGTCTCCTAAACTCATGCTTAATGCAGAAAATGCTGCTGATGAAAAGAATAATTTCATAGAAGCTAAGATTTCGCCAGTGTTTAATTTAGCCCTTAGATAGGTGCAGTGTTCTTCATCTAAATAATTTATAATAAGTATAAGAGAGATGGATTGCTATGGAAGTTTCAAACAAGACTTAGTAGCATTGTACAAAAATAGTGTAATCTTAGTAAAATCCATTAAAATCTGGCTCTCAGAAAAAATACCGTATTTCATCACCTCAGGAGAGACTTGTTTGAAGAACTGCTGTGTTATGAAGCATGTGCATGAGGAATTAACAACATTTAGTGATTTATTTACTCTGCAGATGAATTTACGATAATTGCACATTTTATACTGTAATTTTCACCCCTTAATGAACCAGTTTTAATATAATGGAAAATGCTTTTTACCCCAAATTACTCTTGAATTATCAATATGTGATCTAGAATTAGGCCATCAAGCCTAATTTTTGTGCTGTGACTATTGTGAGTTATACTAATTTCTGTTGTTGTTTTGTGTTTCTGTGTTATGTAACAACAGAGAGGATACGTGATGTGCCGACGGATGGTTTGTGACTGTGAGAACCCTACTGTTGACTTGTTTTGCTGTCCTGAATGTGACCCAAGGCTCAGCAGTCAATGTCTTCATCAAAGTGGGGAGCTCTCATACAACAGTGGAGACACATGGGTGCAGAACTGTCAACAATGCCGATGCTTGGTAAGTATTCTGATTGCATCAATGTGGAAAGGAACAAAAAAAAAAATTCAAACATTTTCATGACTCCAGAAAAGTTCACTTGGAATGTATTTGCTTGTTTCCTTGTTCATATATTTCTGTAATCAAGGTTTGGCTTGAAGTTTTCAGGTAGTTTGGCCAAGTTTCATTTAATCACAAAATGAAATTTGTTTAATCCTCAAAGAAAGTTTGTTTTGGCATATTGGAGGTCCTTCAGTTAAGGAACCTAAACAATGGCAAGTAATTTAGGTGATCACAGTTTGAAGAGCAAATTCTGAATATTGAATTATTAAATTAACATCATAGTAAATAATTTCTGAGAAGTCCATAGGCTGAAATTTGTTCATTCAGGTATTTTAAATAGCAGTTAACTTGACCTGTTTATGAATATTTCACTAACGGGAGAAAAGACAAGATTTCCTGAGTGCTTTATTCTTTGTGAATTGTTCACCAAGTTGCACTTTACTACCTCTAATATGATGAAAGATTTTAAAATATTAAAATCAGCTTGAAAGCATGTCCCTTCGAAGTATAAGAATTTTTTCCCTAGGGTAAACATTTCATGCACTGAGGCAGTACTACTTCTATGTAGTGCTGTATAATAAACTTCCTGGACAGAAACAATCACCAGATGAAAACAAATAATTTCATATCTAGGTATAAATCTGGTTCATCTAATGGTTTTCTTTGGGCTAACAGTCATGAAAACCAGCAGACTTTCTTAGGTTTCAACTTTACCTTTGCTAGAATACAGTAAATTAGGTCCCCATGTGCTTCATTAAATGTTAAAAGAAGCCCTGCTATTTGGGATTTACATAGATGACTCCTTTATTCAAATGCTTCTATGTAATTGTAGCCAGTTTCTTCATCTACCAGACGGATGTTTTAGGTGATAACTTTTTTGTTTATTCTTTGTACTCTTTTTCAATCCAAAAATATCAATTAAAACAGCAAGGTTAGGCATTGTTTGCTTTCATACTCTGCATCATGTGATTCATAAGAACAAGAAAGACCAGAGGCAGATGGGAAGTTTATAAAAAAGAACAACATTATACTTTCTCCATGGAGAAAAGTAATACAAAGTCCTGTTCAACAAAATCTTAGAAGATCCTGCTCAGCTCTGTGCTCTGGGGACCACTTAACTCACCACTGTTTAATGGATGATACATGGTTTTTGTACGTGAGCTACTTCTGTAGGGCCAAATGTTGGCTTCTCAACATAAATTCTAACTAAACAAGCAACCATTAACTCTAGGCATGTTAAGGTTGTTACACAAAATCCTAAAATGGATTGGTAACCACAAAATAATTTTGAGCCCCACAGAAAAATCTCTTATTCAACTTGTTAGTACTTGTTTCAGTTCAAACCATCAAGGCCAGCTTGGGCATCAACTTCTGAAAGTCAGCTAATCTGGTCCTTCAGTTCAACAAAAAAAAGCAGCAAGTTCTAGATTTGGGGATATTTACTAGAAATGTTGTCATCATCTTCTTCCCTTTTAAATGTGGAGCTGCTGTTAGCTTGATTGCCTTTGCTGACTGTATCTGCTGCAGTTTTATACCAAAATGAGATCTTTAGTGTAGAGACCTAAACAGGTTAGGGCTTCATAAAAGAAAATCAGTAACTTGAATTGAATTTAGAAACCAATCAGAAAGCATATAGATTACAAAGTTCTCATATAATGTGGAGTTTCTCTTAAAACCTAACATAGCCACATTCTGCATCAGAGGAAATTTCCAAATGGCACCAGGTTGTAGCTCACTGCAAAGTGCTTTGCAGTTAATGTAATCGGGAGAGGGCTAAAGCCACATCATTAGGATGAGGTTGTAAGGAAGGGACATAATAACATTCTTCTCAAGGACATGTGGGAAAAGATCACAAGCAGCGAAGATAACAACACCCATTTACATAGCAGCTGAGCAGAGAATAAAACTAAAGGTGAGTGAGTTGATAGGGCAGAGTTTGTCATTTCAGTTCCTATCTTTAATGCCTTCCTGAAGGCTCTGATTCAGGCCCCATATTTGATTAGACATTAATGCAGTTGAGCTTCTTATTCAAAGTCAGGGTAACAGCACTTTGCTAACTCCCCTAACAGGCGCACAGACAGTGAATAGATTGGGTGACAAAACAGAACCCAATACAGCCCAGCATGAGAAAAACCAGAGAGGAGATGAACACTGCACCTCTCAAAAGGAGGAAAGGGTGTAAAGTAGATCTATGAATGTTGTTAATATTCATAGGTATATCAACAGTACCTCATAGTCCATGATTTCATGGTCCCTAGTGCACCTAACAGTCATACCAAACACTTGCAGCCTAATCCTCATATTTGTCCTCTTGCAAGTCAGGATTATCTTCTTTTGAAATGCAAGGATTTATACTAGTATAAATTGAAAGAGCAGTTGAAATCGAAAGACAATCTTTATTTCTTGTCCCAAACAAGCTACTAAGAAAGCAGACAGTCTAGGCAACCTGTCTCCTCATGTAGCATTGCCTCCCCTGGGCAGTCAAATTGCACTTGTTGTGCTGCCTCTTAGGCTTGTACATCCACCAGAGGGTGTGAATTTTGTCCATCCTACAGTAGGGATACAAAAAGAAGCTGAACAAAAAGGGGAAAGAACCTCATTTACCAACACCTCCAACCCTCAGACTACAACTGCAACTATTTTTAAAACACATTTAACTTAAATATAATATGTTTTTGGTTTCAAGTACAGAAATAAAGTAACCAAGTTCTGGTACTGTCAACAGGAAATGAGTATGAAAAATGTTTGCATGTCTTCTTAATTGAAAGAAATGGAAGTTTCAGCCAGCTGAGAAAGATAATGCATAGACATAGAAACACATAATAGTAAGTCAAAACAACATAGAATACTTGGTGATCTCTGTGTTCTTAAAATGTGTTTTTTTAACAGCAAGGTGAAGTTGACTGTTGGCCACTGACTTGCCCAGAGGTGGACTGTGAATTCAGTGTACTCCCTGAGAGCGAGTGTTGCCCACGTTGTGTCACTGACCCTTGCCAGGCAGACACCATTCGTAATGACATCACTAAAACTTGTCTGGATGAAACAAATGTGGTTCGCTTCACTGGATCTTCTTGGATTAAGCACGGCACAGAGTGCACCCTATGCCAATGCAAGGTAAAGAACATAAAATGAAGCCAAAAGGCCTCTTTGCTAGTTTTTTCAATGGTTCATAAATATTAACACATTTAGCACTAATACATTTAGTCTAGTCAGTGGGAAGTCAGTTGCTGCACTTACTTTCAAAGCAGCAGAGGCTGCCATATAAAATATTCATCTTTATTAACTTCAGCCTCTTCTGTCAATGTTGTGGTTTTTTCAGGAACCAGAATGATGGCTTAAATGCACCAGCAGCACAGAAATAGCATCATAGCCCATCCTGTTGCAAACTCTGAATAAGTTAGCAGACTTGTCCTTTCCACTTGTCTCTCACTTTCACTATGATGGCAACTTACTTTTACCAACTCCATGCTGCCTTGCGGATACCTACAGTATCAATTTTCAAAGGTCAAAGATGTAACTTCATAAAGGAATTGTAGTTTGGAGAGTTAACATCAAATTACCCCAAACAGTATTTCTTTGTTTGAGGATTGTGATGATCAAATATTTTAAGCTTTATAATGACAAAATGGAACTCCCACTATGTCTTACTTGCTTTACAATTGACAGAAAAGACAGCATGACAACTTGAATATTCAACACTCCTTGGGGTCACAAGGGTATAACTTCTCAAGGAAAATGACGTACAGCCAAAAGCTTATCTGAATTCTGCTGCCTTTTCAAAAATAGGGGTGTTACAATAAACATTTCCATTAAAAATGCAGGTGAACTGTATTTTTGCAGAATGACAAATAGCAGGTCAACAGTGGTTGAGGGACAAAGGGAGGAGACAGCAAAACATCCATTCAAATGAAGATCCATAACCCTTACTGAATAATACCATGGTTTCTGGGTCTCATCTCATGTCCTTTCCCTAGAGCTAAAATAAGAACTAAGGCTCCAGTTTGGGGAACACATACAACCAAGATCCATATGTTGGCTTAGTTGTATCACCCTACCCTTGTGTACTGACCTGACTGATCCCAAGATTGGTCTGTCTGAACTGTATTCTGTTTGTACAGAGTTAAGAGTTCCCCTCCTTGCTACTGCCATGTAAACCAAAATCATTATTTGGGCCTATATAAGTCATATACATACTACACCAAACTCAGTAGACTCCTGATAACTCAAGTCAAAATACATTTGAAGGCCATGAACACGATGCAGTAGTTCTGCATGCCCAGAGAACTACATTCAGGCTCTCTCTATCAAGAGAACATGAGTGCAATACCAGGTAGAGGGAAAACATTCAGATCCACTCACACCCACTTAGAGCAATGTACCCAGTCAGGAGGGAAATGGAATAAACAAAGTCTAGGAATCCAAAGGAAACTCCTGATAGTATGTCCCAGCTCACTGATGGGGAGGGTGGATCTTTCAGTGGCTGATTTTTTTTTCTCCTAGGACAGTTTCAAGGTGCAGATAGTCCCAGATGGGCATTGTGCCTGTTTAAATTAGATTCTCACTGTACTCCTGGCTTTTTCATGTCAAGAATTCTTGAATATTGCAAAGTAAAAAAGACACAGGTTCTTAATACAGAGCGTATATAAGTTTACTCCTTAATATGCAAGGACTTATTTTGTTTCCTAACACTATCTTTTGCAGCATACTGTATTTGTATCCAAATAAATCAAACTAATACCAGAACACAATTTATATAGTTAATACAGTAACACAAGTTATTAATATCATAGTAGTATGTACCTCATTTGTATTGCTTCAGCCCTACTCTTTCCTTGCTGTGTATCATGTGGAAGGTCAAAGCTGCAGGATAAGCCTCTCTAACCAAGCTATAGCAAAATAGGTTTACACAAAATCCTTTAAGAATTCAGAAATCCAGGCATCAGCTAAAGCTGACTTAGCCACAAAACCATTTCAAATCACAAGTGAAGAAGGAGAATACTGGGATTGTTTAGCCTCCTGTCACATACAGAGTCAGGGAAATGTGTGAATGATTCTGATTTCCACTGGCCTTTAATCAGGCTGGAACTTCAGTTGACTAAAGATACCTACAGAATTTAAAAGAAGCATGCACGTTTTGTTTGTGTTGTTAAAGTCAGAACAGAGAAGAGGTAGAAATGCAGAAAATATTATCTTTTCACAAATACTTTAATCATTTTTCTGTTCCAGGAATTGTTCATATTTATATAAAAGCAGCTAAATGATCAGTGAAAACTTTAAAAATTAATCATTGACTGTGCTACAGCTTGCATATATTAACATGAGGTATACAGTGCTGAATTAAAAGTAATGGTGCCTTCTGTCTCATCTAAATAGAATTCCTAGAGCCCCGTCCTCTCTGACAGCTGTATATGCACAATAGCCCGAATGCTGATACAGTCAGTTACATATCTCTTACTGACTTCATTTTCTTTTAATTCTTTGTTCTTTTGGTTTTATGATATAGAACACAATACACTGAGCATTTAGTGGAACCATTAGATTTCTTTTATATAGTGGTGCGGCTAAAGTGATGCTAAAATCTGATCAAATTATATATTCGTTTATAAAAAGTGGTCAATTCCATTCTTAAATTAACTTTACAGAATATTAATGTGTTTCAATCTTTTTCCCCTCTTTCCCCTCTCTAGAATGGTCATGTTTGCTGCTCCGTGGATCCACAGTGCCTTCAGGAACTGTGAAGCTAACAACCATTTTTCAAAAGCAGTTTCTGGTTAATGAATTTTCCTTCAAAAAGAGACATTTAGACCAAAAATTGTATAAAGCCAAAACTGAAATCTGATCAGTTTTGTCCATCTTAAAAGTGCAGAAATGTTATAAATGAAGTGAGCTGTCCATTACCTGAGTTAGAGTGAAATGTATAGGACTTCAGAAAAGCTCAGAAATGTAAGCTCAGAAATGCTTGAGGTCAGACTCAGCTCCTGCCTATTTGCGTGTCTGACATCATTATGCAGAATATTAGGGTAGAGTAAAGTGACACATTGTAACGTTGTACATAACGATGTCAAAATACAGAGTCCACTAGAAGTAACCTTTGAGCCTACTGAAGCTTTGAAAATACAAGACTTCAATAGGCACAGAGACCTTTTCGTAATAATATTTGAATCTGCACGATTTGTTTGATTGCTCACTGCAGAATCTAACATAAAGTTGAGTAAAAGGATGATGTCTTCAGGAACAAAGAATATGCTGGCTAAGATATGTTATGTACAGTACCTACTGAGAAAAAAAGATACAAGTTATTGTAAAAAAAACCGTAATGCACAGGCATGGCTACTTAATGTTTTCTGATGGGAAAAGTCATCTATATTTCCTTGTTTTACTGCACTTATTATTTCTTGATTGAATTTGTTCAGTATAAGCTCGTTCTTGTGCAAAATTTAAATAAATATTTCTCTTACCTTATAATATTTTTTGACTTCGAGTCTCCTTCACTGTTCAGGATGGTATTTTTATATAATATTGATGCTTATAACTCCTTTGTCAATACGATTGTCCATAGATGTTTCTACCCAGCACAACTTTGTTCTTTCATTTCACATCTTTGTTAGTCTTTCAGGAACTGGTCGGACAAATGCCTGTACATGCAAGTGACTTCACTCAGGGGATAAGTGCCATTTCATTAAATAGATGCATAAAGATGTTCAAGATCAGGTCCTACATGTTGATTCGTTATTGTCGCATGGATTAGGCACAACTTTAAAACCCCCATAACACTGTTCTGACTTATTGGGAATGCTCTATAGAGTAAACAGCTTTTTGTTTTGTCAACACTGCAACTTATTCAGATACTTTTGTAATAATAAATAATAGTCTGTTAGTGCACAATTATTCTTCTAATGTACTTATTTCTGTTGATGCAGAAGCAATCATCTCTTCAGCAGAAGGGACTTAAGTTAAAAAATACTATTTTCCCAATTGTGCTGTTGTGACAATTAACACAAAAGGTACCTAACCAAGGCTATCTATATCTATCAGGGAGTGAGGATAGGGTACACAGGGTGATAGGCACTTGGATCACAAGGAATACAAATAACAGGGACAAAGTTGAGAACAAAGTTGGCTGGGTTATAGTGGACCTTAAGTTGAATATGAACCAATAATGTGCTCTAGTTTCTAAAAAAGAGTCAACAATATTCTGGGTTGTATGAACAGGAATGTCACTTGCAAATAAGGGATGTGATTCTTTTATTGTATTTAGCATTGATGTGATATCACCTGCAGTACTGTGTCTAGTTTTGGGCCCCACACTTCAAGAAGGATGTGGACAGAATAGAAATCCATCTAAGAGCAACAAAAAATTATTAGACCCAGGAAACATGACTTATTAGAAAAGACTGAAAGAGCTAGGAAAATTTAGTCTGAAGAAGAGAGGAATAGGGGATTTGATAAGGGTCTACAGATACCTGAAGGGCAATTACACAGAGGATGGAGATAGATATTTTTCTGTGGCTGTATGGGGACAGGATTAACAGCAATGACCGTAAGCTGCAGCAGAGGAAATTTAGGTTAGAGTTTAGGAGGTGGTCAAGCTTTGGAGCAAGCTACTTAGAGAAGTGGAATCTCCCTCCCTGGGAATTTTCAATATCAGGTTGGACGGACACTTGACTGGGATAGTTTAGTTAGAGATGATCCTGCCTTGAACAGAGGACTGGGGTAGCTGACCTCATGAGGTTCCTTTCAGGTCTGCTTTCCTATGATTGTATTATCCATGTCTTAGGGAATTATTACAAGCATTGAAAAGTAAGAAAAAAATGTAATATACCAAAAATGCAGCATCCCTTTAAATAATTAGACCAGCATGGAGTCAAAGGCTGGACATATGTTGTCCTTTTAAATATCTTTTATTTTTTTGTCTTTAGTTAGTAACATCGGTAGAATATAAGATGATGAACCATTTTGGTTTTATTACAAAAATGAACTAGAATTTTGGTTTAACACAAAATTTCTATTATAGCCCTTCCTAGTGTTTATAGTTTTACTAGGGAATTTCATATGCCGGGGTTTCACAAAGCAAAATGTTTTCTTGCAAAAAATGCTATTTTGCAAGCAGTATTTTATATCTGAGGATAAAGTGCAAGAGTGCCAGGCAACCACGAGTCAGATAGGTGGTTACTTGTATCCCAGTGTTCTTTCTTACATACATGTATATAAGTAAGGTAGGTACACAGGATGACAGGCACTTGGAACACAAGGCATACAAATAAAATGAAGACATATTTAGACAAAAAGAAGCGTGGTGAAATATTCTACAGTGGACTATTAAAGCTATGAAGGTTTTCAGACTGAATAAATCTCTTTCCTTTTCAAGGTCCTGCCCATAAATAATAGATACTCAAGGGATTTACTGTTTTATCCACAGTTTCTGGAAAGCCGCAATCAATGTTCTTTAAGAAGTGTGTTAGGTCCTTGAAAAAGAGACTGTTTCTATACCTATTCTTGTCTGCTAATAATTGCCAAGGGTCACGTTTGCCCTCCGGGACATAGGCACATCTCTCATTGAACTGAGCGACAGTTGTGTCCCTGTATATGAGAGCAGATTTGACAGAAGGTGCTACTATTTAGGGACTGAATTTTGATTTCATTCTAAAATGCATGTTAGAAAGACACATTGCTAGGCTGCTTTTTGTTCTGCAAAACACAAAAGGAGCTAACATATGGCTCAAGGGCAAATCTCTGGCTCAAGTAAAGGCTGCAGAAAACCCTGAATGAATGCGGTGGAACTACCTCAGAATATGCATAACACAGCTGTACCAACGTCCGGGTTGGGACCATACATATGCAATTTCAGGGTGGGACTAGGGAACGGGAGCGGAAGTCCAGTCAGTTGGTCCACAACTACTGTAGCTCCCTTGTATACGGCATGGCTTGGGTTATATACCAAGACTGGGTCTGGATCACAGATAGGAAGATAAGATCCAAAGAAAAAAATTATCTTCACTTTTTTTTGGTCTTTGCATTTTTAGAGGCACAGTAACATTTACATTTCATCTTAGCTTGTACTTTTAAACTAAGGATGTGAATGGTAGAAAACAAATCTCCCGCTCTTTTCATTTATCACCAACCCTTTGCTGGGACAGAGTTTTTTGCTCTTTTTGTGGTTGTCATTGTTGCAGTTTGATCAAACAGCTTGCAGTACACCAAAATCTAGGCCAAATATAGCCGAGTCAAGACATACACTAATCGTTTTATCAAAATAAACCTTGAATCCAATCCTTAGAGAACCAGTTGATACTATATGTGCTTGAGGAGCAGAAGTTATTCTTCTAAACAAATCTGAAATCCTCTGTGCTGAATAAAAAATGAGGGTGAGTTGACTGAACATTATCTAATCTATCATTGCTTGAGGTTGCTAATTAGTTGGGAATTCTTCTAAAGGTCAACAAATTCCAAAGAGACATCTCAGTGACCCCTTCCCAGCTCAGCTGATCCAGCAATTAGTACTTCATGAATTAATCCCCCCCGCCCCCCGAAATTGAAATGCTACAGAAAATTGATCTCAGAATTCCAGACCTACCTAAAGAATCTATGGCAGGCACAACCACGTATTCATTATCTTTAAAAAACCCTCCAAGAATTAATGTTACTCTCTCCTCCTAGGGACAGAGTGAAGGAGGGCGGGGGTGAAGGAGGTGTGTTGTGTTCTTTTGCTGACCTTTCATAATCGATGCACTGTTTACACGCTACAATTCAATAACTCCCATAAAAGAATTGTCACCTCTTTGCAGAGTAATTGCCCTCAGTTAATGGACCTGCAGATATAAAGGCAGAAATGTCTTCAGTTACACAGGATTCAATTCCATGGTGAAACAAATTGGTAAAGAATAGCAGCATTGTAAGTTGCTGAAAACTGAATTATTTAACAACACATTTCTGGTATCTAAATTCGCTATAGTCATGAGCAAAAGAAAGAGAGAAAGGTGGTGTTTTTTCCTTTGATTCTGGCATTAAACAAGTGTATGTGAGCCAGACTCTGAGTATGAAAGTTAAATGTTTGTCTCCATTTTGGAGGTTAGGTTCACAGAACTTGAATTATGCATCCCAAAAAACATAGTTGCTCTGTATTTCTCATCTCTCCCTATTCAGCCCTCAAACCAAAAAAGTTATTCACACAGCCCTATAGTAAGGCAGACAAGGCTGTTTGGGTAGATGTGATATCTTTTAGTAGACCGACTAAATAGTTGAAAAAAATGTTCTTTGCAAGCTTTTGGGCACTTGCAAGGCTTCTTCGGACAGAGGGAGAGTCTACAGAAGGATGTTTGCACCTGAAAGCTTGCAAAGAACAATTTTTCGAACTATTTAGTTGGTCTAATAAAAGATATCACATTTATCCAAAGAACCTTGTCTGCCTATGTCCTTCGCCCAACATGGCTACAACCAACACTCCAAGCCCTATATTAAAGCACTGCAGATAAGCCTGTGTTAATCAGTATTTTCTTGCTTCCAAAGTTTGTGCACACTGTAAAATGCTGAGACAAAATTGTTTAATATGATAGAAGATTTGCACCCTATGTTCTACCAGTTTGATGTTAGTGGATCATTTAAATAACATAAAACTTTAATTACTATAAACCATAATAGTGTATCGATCATATTTTGTTCCATCCAGAAAGCAGCCAAGTAAATGTACTGTGCTTTTCTTAAAATTCTATTTGGTCAGTAATTTTGGACTTTTAATTTAATTCCCAGGATTTCTCTTATGCATCAGAGATATTGCTTTGAATCATTAATATCATAAAAGGCTGTGAGTTTTCATTTTAGGATTAAGTTGTATTTGAATTGCAAGCCAAAGCCAAAATAACATGATCTGCATCACTGCAGCTAGAACATTACCCTAAATAAAGTAGCAGATCACTCATAAAAATACAGAATTAAATTCAGTTTTATACAAGACCACCATATTGGCAACATTTAAGATATGTTCACCTTTCCATGATGTCTGATTTACGATGGGAGAAAGAAAATTGAAGTTCAAGATATTAATTTTTTTGTAGATGTGCTAAGTAGTTTCATACAGTACGTTCCCTAGTTCATGGCATATTGCAAAATACAACTTTTAAGATGTTTATTCTGATTTTATTAGCCTTGAGTATTTGTTGCTACTTTTCCTAGTCAGGTTGTCTAATAATAGTTCAGATCATTTAATATCATTATATCTCAAAAGATTTTTTCCTTGGATGGGAACACATAAAACAAGCCAAACACTTCACTTGCAGCAACCACTACTTAATATGTCACTGGACAGGGCAACAGCTTAGTTAGGACTTCAGCCCACAACCTGGCTCCAGGTGTCAGCATGGCAGGAGGTGGGTAGAACAAGACTGAGAAGGAACCATTCCTCAGGTAAGAAGTCTCCCTCTCACTGCCAAGATGGCCTCAGAAGAAGCTGGCATTTTTCGTGTTTTGCTCC